AATTAAAAATACCAAAATAAACATGGAAATTACATGAATGTCAACTCCCCCACACTTAGTTTCTTTACTCGACCTCGAGTAAAATCAAATGTTTACACCATGTTCAACCAAAGATAATAAGTTTTAAGAATAGTAAGAAAGAACACAAGACCACCAAGGTTGTAATTGAGTTCATAAAACAACATTTTCTTGGGTTTATTGGTCCTCTATGCCCTTTGTTTCTTCTTCTCTTGCTTATTCTTCTTCTTCTTCTTCTCCACGAGATGATGTCCTGCAAAACACAATTTTTTCTCTCATATCTCTCATTTTGCCTAGGAGCCTTTTCAGGTTTTCATCCTAGCATCTCTTTTCTTTTTCCATCCTTACCACTCACTCATTTTTTTAAAGCCATTTTTGCTTAGATTGCCCATTTTTGGGTTTTCAACCTAACTAGCATGATTTTTTTATTTATTTATTTATTTATTTATTTTTTATTTTTTTTTTGAAGAAGAAAATAATGCCAGTTTACAAGGTATGAAACATAACTACGTACCAATGAGTGACTCCCCCTCACTTAGCTTGTAGCACTGTCCCTAGTGCTCGTCTCCGTCATTTCAGGCAGAAATGGGCATCCTCATGCCCGGAATTGGTTCCCTCGCAATGGAACTTTCGGTTGGTTCCTCTTTGGTGCCATTTGTGCCCAAATTAAAAGCTTGAATTCGGATTTGGGGATTTTTGGGGTAGGGTTTCGGATTTTTGGGGAGAGAGGGAGATATGGTGATTTTTGGGTATGAGGTTGGAGAGGATGGTGAGAGGAGTGTTTTGGTGGTGGTATGAGAGGATTTGGTTGAGTGTTGGGTGAGTTATGGGAGCTTGAAGGTTCGAAAATGGTGGGTTTGGGGTGAGAGATTCGAGTATTTGAGAGTTGGGGAAGATGAAGTGATAGATTTGGGGTTGATTTGGGGTAAAAAGGTCGAGTACCCGATCGGGTGGCCCGATATACCCGATCGGGTAATTTAATTCGAAGGATTTTTTAGCTTTCCAGATTAATTCACCCGACCGGGTGACTCGAATACCCGACCGGGTATTACGTCGTTGTTTTTTTTTCTGCTCCAGGGGTTCTCACTCGATCGAGTTTGGGGGTACTCGATCGGGAAATTTAATTCGAAGGAAAAATTTTAAATTTCCGTATTATACCCGATCGGGCCTTATGGGTACCCGCTCGGGTACCCTCTTGAAAATTTTCTTACTTCCTGATCGGGTTTCCTCAAAGCCCTGCCTTTTCATACGTACCCGATCGGGTATAGCAATGGTGCCCGATCGGGTACCCTACCCTGGGACGTGTTTTTGTCCAGTTTTAACCTTTTTTTAGCGCGGATCCGATCGGTTAAGTGATGAAGACCGATCGGAGGTTTTCCCAGGATTTCAAAACATGGTTTTCCCTCATTTTTCTTTTGAGAATTTTCCCCATTCTCTCAAAGTTGATATTCAAAAACAAATTTTTTTTTTTAAAAAGAAAAGATGAAAGATGCGTACCTAAGCATGGGTTGCCTCCCAAGAAGCGCCTTAGTTAACGTCGCGGCACGACGTTATTTTTTTTTTATTGTTTTTATGTGGGATCGTGAATATCCCCTGTTTCATTCTTTTTCTTCGGCCTTTTCCAGTAAGGCCGAGATTTCTTCTTTGTTATCACCTCAAACACAAGTGATTTACTTTCGTATTTAGGTGCCTCTTCTTTCAAAATAGATTTTTCTTGTTTAATTCTTTCCTTAAAAAGTGAGGTCTCCTTGGCTTGTTTTCCAACAAAAACGTTTGGTGTTTGTGGTTCAAAAACATTTAGAGAACAAAGAGATTGGTCTTTAAATTGTTTTTTCGTAGAATCAAAGATGTTGAATTCTACCTTTTGGTCATCAAACTCCAATGTTAATGAACCATTAGACACGTCTATTTTTGTTTGGGCGGTTTTTAAGAAAGGTCTCCCCAAAAGGATATGATGAGTGTAGTTTGGTTATCGGCTTCCATTTCAAGGATATAGAAATCAACAGGGAAGACCAAATTTTCAACTTGTACTAGCACGTCCTCTACTACACCCTTTGGGTATGTGCAAGACCTATCTGCCAATTGGATTACTACCCCGGTTTCATGCATAGGGCCAAGTTTTAGGGACTTGTATAATGAATATGGAATAACATTGATTGAAGCCCCTAAATCCAACAAGGCCCTAGGAAATAAAGTGTCCCAATTTTGCATGGGATAGTGAACATGCCTGGGTCATTGCATTTTTCCGGGAGTTTCCTCTGGAAAATTGCTGAGACACGTTCACTAACCTTTACCTCTTGTTTTGCCTTCAATTTATCTTTCCTTTTCATTGTGCATAGTTCTTTTAAAAACTTTGCATAACGGGGAACTGCTTTTGATCAATTTGAAGAGTGGGATGTTTACCTCAGAATCGGCGAAGGTCTCGTAGAGGTCCCGATCATTCTTCAGCTTTCTTGTGTCCTTCAGTGCTTCGGGGAATGGAGGAAGTGGCTCATATGATGAAAGTGGAGGGGATTTAGTTTTCGTTGGTTCCACCTCGTTTGGTTGAAAATCTTCTCCAGGATCAACCCCATTTTCAGATTGTTTTTCTTCCTCATGCACCTCTTTCAATGTTGGCTCATCCCTCAACATGATTGCATTAACATGTTGTCTCGGGTTTTGCTCCGTTTGAGATGGGAGTTTACCCGAGTCTTTTGCCTCAAGTCGGCTCACCGCAATTGAGATCTGGCTCATTTGATTTTCCAAGTTTTAGATGCTAGATTTCGTTGTTTCTTGGAATTGAGCCACACTTTGTTGCATCGTTGAAATGTTTGTAGCAAGTGCTCGGATCATGTCTTCAGTGGACATATTTGACCTTGAGGTTTGGCCTTGGTGATTTGGGAAGGATTGTTGAAAGGGCTGATTATGTTGTGTTTGAGGGTTCCCATATCTCAAATTCGGGTGATCTCTCCACCTGGGGTCGTAAGTGTTAGAGTGTGGATCGTACCTCTTTTGTTGATGAGATTGAAAACCCAAGGCATTGACTTGATCTTCTTGGAGATTTGGGCAAGAATCGGTTGGATGCCCCTACTGTGTGCATATGCCGCAGACCTTGACCTCTTGGGTTCTAGGATTTAAGAGGAAATCCTTAACCAAAGAAGTCAAGCCGGCCATTTGACTTTCCAAAGATGAAGATGATTCCGTTGCGGCAACTTTACGGATTGAGGACCGCCCGTTGTAATGCTTGGAATTCTCGGCCAATTCCGAGATCAAGTTTGTCGCTTGTGAGGGGGTTTTGTTGACAATGCCACCCCCACAAGCGGCATTCACCATTCTTCTATCATCATCAACAAGACCATCGTAAAAGTAGAGTATGAGGTCTTGCTCGGTGTAGCCATGATAAGGGCAGCTAGCACATAACTTTTTGAACCGTTCCCAATATTCATATAAAGTCTCATCATCTTTTTGATTGATGTTACTTATTTGTTTTTTCAAAGATGATGAGATGGAGGTGGGGTAGTACCTTTCTAGGAAGCATTTCTTCATTGCTGCCCATGTATCTATGCTTCCCGAGGGAAGATAGAATAGCCAATCCTTAGCCGTGTCTTTCAGTGAGAATGGAAAGGCCCTCAGCTTGATCTGTTCTTCAGTGACATTATTTGGTTTCATACTAGTGCAAACTATATGAAACTCCGCAAGGTGTTTGTTTGCATCTTCGCCCCTTAGGCCATGAAATGAAGGGAGTAGATGAATGAGGCCCGACTTGAGCTCAAATGTAGCACCTTCATCAAGAGTGGGAAAGGTGATACATAGAGGTTGTTGATTTAAGTTAGGAGCTGTGAGCTCCCTCAAAGTTCTTGTTTCTTGAGCCATAGTGATTGGCTCTTCAGATTCGCTAGAACTAGAGCTACCGTTTGAAGATTCCTCCGAGGGTGTGTGCGGAAATAAATTTCTCAACCTCTCGAAGGCTTGTTCTATTTCGGGGTTTGCTTGATAAGTGATTTCGTTTATGGAACGATATCAGACCATATACTTCACAAAGCTCAGAAATAGAAAAATAAGAACTCTTTATATTTTTAGTTGATTATTATTATTATTATTATTTTTTTTAAAAAAGATAAAATAAGAAGAAAAATAATTGCCTTTCCCGGCAACGTCGCCAAATTTGACGTGCACTTTGTCATAGTGTGCACTCAAAATAATAATACAATACAACACTTATACGTAGTATAGCGTAGTAAGGTTCGTATTCACAGGGAAAGGAATACTTTTCTTTTTATAGAACTAGTAACAAAATGGGGGGTTTTAGTTTGATTTGGTTTAATAAATTAAACACGAAGATGAACGAGTTATGTGGTTTAATTAATGAGAAGAAGACTTGACTTTGCTTTTATCCACTTAATGAAATGTTCGTCGATCCCGGTTATATCTTTAACTATCTTCCTCTCGAATACTCAATCGAGGAGTATATCCAGTTCATCGAGGGTAGTTATTAATAACGAGACGCGTTCATTAATAAAACTTACTACCGAGTCAATATAGAACAAGCGCCGTATATTAACTCGATAGTAGCAATAAAATCAAGATGAAAACGATTGAGATTGATAACCTCAACACAAGCGGTTTATTGGTTTAATCAATATAATTAATTCCCCTTGGCTTGTTAATCATGAAAAGCATGCATTAACAACCCAAGTTTACTACCATTGAAAGAACCGAATTAATAACAAGCGTATTAACCGATTGATTTTAGTAATAATTAATATATGAAACAAAACTAGTTGATCCATTAAAGCACCCTTCTACCCGCTTCCAGCTTTTAGCTTTTAAGTGATTAATTTAAGCAGAAGCTGTCATTTGAAAACACTCTTTTCAACTTTTTTAAGTCAAAAGCTGAAAAGCGTTTTTTTTTAAGCAAACCCAAACACTTCTTTACTAATTCCTTTATCAGCCCTCTACTCAACTACTCTGTTTCCTCATCTTTCCTATTTCAAAAGTTCCTGCCTCTCTCAAATCCTGCTCCTAGCTATACAGATATTTGATAATTAATACAGAATAATGTTGATAGCGCAACACGACCACTTCCAGAGTTCCAGGCATAGTGATGCAATGAAAAAAAAACTTATACACCATTTATAGATATCATTGTTAGGTGATATCGTTCTTCATAGTCCCTTGGAATTTACTGCATACTACATGCCATATAAGAAGATAGAGGAGTACATGGATAGAAGTTATTACATAAGCATAATATTTGAGTAACTTGACTAAGAGACTTTTTGGGTAAAAGGGGACTCTGTTATCGTAAGTGATGCCTGCATGAAATTAAGAAAATTGCACTATGTAAGGTTGGTCTGACCGGCACAAAAAGATAAACACTTATAATTTCACACATTAATATAATAACTGAAATCATTGTTCAAAACTTATTATCATTGACCAAAAAAGTGAAGGGCCAAGTTTATGTGACAAAGTGAATATGTGATATCACTGTGACCATTTAATTTTATAATAAATTCCTCCATTATAAAAATAGTGATAATGCTAAAGCAATGTATGCGTATATGAATCCATGTTCTAAAAGATGTGAGGTTTGAAGATGCAACACAGCCGAGTCTTAAGCTTTCAACGCCTAGGTGAGTTTAAGCGAGGCTTTGGCGCCAAAAGACATTTTTATTTTTATAAAAATGTTAATAAATATTTATGACTAATTTTTCTGTCCGTTCCACTAACTCTGTCTCATACCATGTTTGGTAAGTTTTGTGTGGTTCTAATTCATTCTTACTTTATTCAAACAATATCAACCACATAACTCTACTTTTCTTATAATCGCATTATCTCATTTTGTACCAATCATAGATGAACGGAGGTCGTATTTGCTAAAAATCCACAGCCGCATCATCCCATGGTCAAGTGGTAGTTGCCAGAGATACGCGGCAGTCACCGAAGTTACAACCGGAGTTGCAGGAGTGTTTAGTGGAGGTTGAGGTAGATTTAGCGATGGTGGTAACTGGAAGTGTGGAGGCAGTAGCCGGAGGCCCGGAGGTTCAGAGGTGATTGCCAGAGGTCTGGCAGTGGTCAGAGGATGACTGGTGGCAATCGCCATGGGCCAGCAAAGGTTTAACGGTGACAATGGTCAGCAAACTTTGATGGTAATGTTGCCATGGGTCAGCAAAGGTTTAACAGGGACGGTGGTCAGCAAACTTTGATGGTAATGTTGTCTCTTCAGTTAAATTTTATTCCTACTTAGGTAAAAAACTTTAAGAACCTCTATTTAAGTTAGTGTGCAAGGTTTTATTCTTGTTTAGGATTTTTTCCTGAAAAAAGAGGAAGAGAGGGAGACCTCAATGTTTCTTTTGTTGCACGACGGACTTTGCAGCGGATAGTTGGAAGGCCGAGTCGCTGGTGAGCCTCATAGCGGTGACACCCAGAAAATCCTGATGAGTGTAATATTTATTAATCACTCATTAATAATTAGTAGTTTTTTTTCCAAGAAAAAGACTTAATTATCATTAATCAAATCAGCATCTAAAGATGAAACAATAAAAGGAGGAGAATAAATCCAAGATCGCGACTCAGACAAAGAACAAGCAGCTCTCGCAAGAGCATGGGCTGTCTTATTCGCTGAACGCATAATATGACTAAAAGAAATGTTCCTGAACAATTTCGCCAAGTCTCTAATGTCTTCGCCCAACAAGCCAATGTAAGAACAACTGGACCCAAGTGTAATTTCTGCTACGGCCCGAGTTGCATCGGTCTCCACCACAACCTCGTCCCACCCGTGCTGTTTAATCCAGTTGAGAGCTTCTCGGATTCCCAGCAGTTCAGCCCCAAGCGGAGTCCACTTCCCCGGCCACGGACAGGCTGCCCCAGCCACAAAGCTCCCATTATCACCCCGCAAGCAATTAATAATTAGTAGTTGAAGCCAGGCAACTCACATTTTCCGGGCAATGCCCTCTACATTCATATATTCTGTATAGTTTACTAACTGGTAATTGTTAAATAAGCTATATAATATGTAATATAGCTTAGACTGGTGTGCGTGCCTTACTTACCGTAGTACACTCCATCGACTTCCAAGACATCAATCTGCATGAACGTACAATGAGATATATCAGGTTTTCAATATTATCCTGAATTCAGTTTGTCTGCTCCTAGAAATGTTCCATGTTCTATAGGTAAACTATCAATACTTCCGCTAAATGTATATATAAAGGTTACTATAACTATTAGTATCCAAGGATTGATACATTTTGACAGCTAACTACTGAATAAAAGCAAATTGATACTCCAAGTACATTTTATTTCTTAAAATGGTATACACCATTATGAAATTGTGAGAAAATTAATCTGAACTTTACACGAACTCAAGAAACAATAATTATGTGTAATTGATTATATAGCTGTGTTGATCAGGTCCACACAGGTCTGAGTCCAATTTGATCTATTGCAATGACTAGATTAGCTACATGCTTAGTTTCTTTCTGAATTCATTAGACAAATCGGATTTGAATTTGATAAGAATGAGATATGTGTTAATTAATTATTTACATGTAATATTTGGGTAAAAAATTGAAGCTTAGATTGCTTTGCTGGATAATTTTGACATAGGTTTCAAACGGTACCATTGACGGAAACATTTAGCATGTTTATACTACTGATTCGCTTAAATTGAATAGTTGAGGTACCAATATGCATTAATGGTATTAGTTATGCTATTATTCCTCAACAAATTTTAAGGGAGAATAATTACCAGAAAATATATAGAGCATGTCAACATGCTCCATAAGGAATATGTTGATGACTTGGACACAACAATTGCAACAATTGCATTGATTTTGTAGTAATGGACCCCATTATTTTAAGAGTAATGCATATGATGCATCCAAGTCATCAACATGCTTCTTACGGAGCATGTAAACATGCTCAATAAATTAACTCGAAAGATTAATGCTGAGAGCATAAGGTCTTAATGGAAGTGTAGCATATGTATGGTTAAAGAAAGGGAAAAAAATTGTGCAAATGTAAACCAGATGTTGAACTTCAAGAAGGATGGGAAGAAGAGAGAGGGCAGTGAAGTAGAATGATAACTAAAATTTCTTCCTTGCAAATAGTTTAGCCTGACTAGTGACTACTATTGTCTAACACTTCTAAACATCTAAGTTTGGGGGGTTACATATTGAAGAATTTACCATTAATACCTCTCAACATTTAATAATACCTATAACCCTTGATTATTTTCTCTCAAACAAGCGTTACAATCGACACTCTCTCACATTTCCATTACTAATGCCCTTCCACACTCAACCCAAACAAAGAAAACTCACTGCATCAACTGAAATACAACAATGAGAGGTGACACATCAATCTCTATAGAACTTTTCTTATTTCTGTCCGTTAAAGTGTGAAGCCTAAACCGCTAACCTCAACTCAATAAGCTAGATTGAAAAAAACACAAAGCTAAATATAGCAAAGCTATTAGCAATGGAAAAACTAAATACTTACGGGGACTTGTAGGCCGATTGCACGTACACTATCCATCAGTTCCTGCACCTTTTGGGGATCATTAGCTCTAGTGAGCATAAGGGGCCTTCTAATTTTATCCAGCGGAAGTTCCACAATCACTGGCCCACCTAATTGTTTCATACTCCCACTAGGCCCTGAACCAATCCCCCAACTCTCATCTTACTGTAATTTGAACAAATTCTTGCAATCTATGAACATTTATGTAAAAATATATAAAACTATAGTTCATAAGGTTTCCCAAGAAAATATTGAGATGCCATAATGGATTTACTAACATGCTCAAAATTTATTCATGTTTAGAAATAATCAGTATAATCTGGTATAATCAAATTTTCAAAACATAGGAAACGACCACATAGTTGAAAGTCTGATTTTTCAAAAAAATCTTGAGAAACCAATACAAATTCACGATTACCCAACGAAGCGGGGTGGAAGAAGGTAGGAATACCTTTGGAGGACGAAGCAGAAACGACGCGAAGGTTACTTGGGACTTTCATTAGCAAGTTTTCCATTTCCCAAGCTCTTCTCCAGTCTGCACCACGGGATTATAAAGATCGGGATGGAAGGATGTGAACGGACTATGAAGGTTGAATTCTGTTCCTGCGGAAATATTAAGGTTTGATTTGGATTCATTAAAGCCTTGTTTGGTCAATTGGTCGTTAGCTAATTGTGCGGCTGTTTTGATTGACTTATGATATTAGGTTGTTGTTATTAAGGATTTTTTTACTTGGACTCTAACTTGATCTGGTCTGGTTTGGTCTGGTCTGATTAGTTTGGTCTGGTCAGGTCTGGTCTGATTTCTTTGTATTTTTATAACTATCCAAGTCTGGTCGGGTCTGATCTGGTCTAATCTGGGACGAATTACAGTCCAAGTAAAAACATCTTAAATGATTGGTAAAATTATCTGTTATAAAAAGATGTTTGAGTGCAAAAAGATGTATAAGGACACACACTGATAGAGTAATTAATCATAGAGAGAAGGGAGAGCTAGAGAGATAAAGTGATATGTATAATGAATTCCAATCAATCATCCAATCCTTTACATGGCTCCCATAGGAAGTATTTATAGGAGAAAAGAGGGCTGGGCTTCCAGGCTTGGGCCTGACTGGCCCACTTACAATAAAAGGCCAATAAATGGCTAATAAATGGTATCTAATCTATTCTAATGGATATACATGAATAAAATAGAGTGTACAATGAGATAAATGCTATCTACTGAGCGTATGTGGGCCGCTGTCCAGGCCCAATAGTCGTGAGACCCGGGGGTCCGAGTCTATATACTCTATCAGGAGTCCCCCACTCTCTGAGTCGAGAGTACTCGAGGCGAAAGAGAGTAGAATTGTGTGCTGATCTGTCGTCGTCTGGTGAGTAAACTGCTGTCGTCGTCGAAGCGCCTCGCCCAGATTCCCAAGCCGATGATCCGATCCCATTGGCGAGCCCTGACTCAGGCAACCCTGTGGAAGAATCCTCAGTCGAAGGTCGCAGACCAGAGACCATCACCACCGGTCTTGAGGCGGGGGAGCTATGTATATGTACTGGCCGATGTGGCAGCTGAATATGTATGTGATATGATGATGTCGTCGGTGTGTGTGGCAATCCTTGCAAAAATTTTGAATTTTTGCTTCTTTGGTGATGGAGGCGCTAAGTCCCCCGTTCTCCCAGTCCCCCACTCCTTGAGGCGAGTGTAATGAGGTGAAGAGGAGTAAAGTAATGTCTGTCTGATGATGTCTTCAACAGGGGGCCGAGGGTTGACAGTTGGTTAGAGCACCCGTTTGGTAAGCGGGAGGTCTTGAGTTCAGCTCTCAATGAAAGCACCAAATGATAGAGTAATTAATCTTAGAGAGAAGGGAGAGCTAGAGAGATAAAGTGATATGTATAATGAATTCCAATCAACCATCCAATCCTTTACATGGCTCCCATAGGGAGTATTTATAGGAGAAAAGAGGGATGGGCTTCCAGGCTTGGGCCTGGCTGGCCCAGTTACAATAAAAGGCCAATAAATGGCTAATAAATGGTATCTAATCTATTCTAATGGATATACATGAATAAAATAGAGTGTGCAATGAGATAAATGCTATCTACTGAGCGTATGTGGGCCGCTGTCCGGGCCCAATAGTCGTGAGACCCGGGGGTCCGAGTCTATATACTCTATCAGACACGAGTATATGTATACTCCATCTGTCCCATTTTAAATGTTCCGTTTTATCATATTGGGATGTCCCTATTTAATTGCCTCATACCTTATTTGGTAAAGTTTGTGTGACTCAAAATCATTCTTACTTTATTCTTACTTTATCAATTAATATCAACTACACAAACCCACTTTTCTTAAAACTCGTGTCACCCTCTTCCGGGACATTAAAAAGGGGACGGAGGGAGTAATATTTTGGGGAAAAAACTTCAATATTACTAAAACATGTGACTTTTCCTAAAATATGACTCAAACTGTTTTTGTTCCCATCATATGACCTCACATACATGACTATATGGTTACATAACCTCTTCCCCTAATAAATCTCACATACATGCACCACATACGAATGATATCCCAAGGGCAAAAACGGAATGACTCATAGTTTGGGAAACATGTCGTGTTTCAGTAATATCCGTGATAATTTTCTCTAATATTTTAGTAATAATGTTGTTGACGATAACAACAACAACAATAATAATATAATAATAACAATAAGAATAATAATAACAATAATAATAGTAATTTGACGTGCACTTTGTAGTAGTGTGCACTCAAAATAATAATACAATACAACACTTATACGTAGTATAGCGTAGTAAGGTTCGTATCCACAGGGAAAGGAATACTTTTCTTTTTATAGAACTAGTAACAAAATGGAGGGTTTTAGTTTGATTTGGTTTAATAAATTAAACACGAAGATGAACGAGTTATGTGGTTTAATTAATGAGAAGAAGACTTGGCTTTGGTTTTATCCACTTAATGAAATGTTCGTCGATCCCGGTTATATCTTTAACTATCTTCCTCTCGAATACTCAATCGAGGAGTATATCCAGTTCATCGAGGGTAGTTATTAATAACGAGACGCGTTCATTAATAAAACTTACTACCGAGTCAATATAGAACAAGCGCCGTATATTAACTCGATAGTAGCAATAAAATCAAGATGAAAACGATTGAGATTGATAACCTCAACACAAGCGGTTTATTGGTTTAATCAATATAATTAATTCCCCTTGGCTTGTTAATCATGAGAAGCATGCATTAACAACCCAAGTTTACTACCATTGAAAGAACCGAATTAATAACAAGCGTATTAACCGATTGATTTTAGTAATAATTAATATATGAAACAAAACTAGTTGATCCTTTAAGTAATGTTCAAAATATTAATATGAAATATGAATAGGAATTAATTAATACTCAAGGAAGAATATTAAAGAAGATGAGTCCTATTATAGTTAATATCAAGATGTTAACTAATTGTCATCTTAGTAACACTCCCCAATATTAACATAGAGGAAGAAATAGCTATTACTATATATAATTAATGTCAAGATGTTAACTAATTGTCATCTTAGTAACACTCCTCAACATTGATATAGAAATAGTATTTAAAGGAAGAATTAATATTCAAGGAAGAAGATTAAAGAGAATAACTCACAACTTACAAATTCATTAAGCTTCAAAGTAGCAAAACCAAGATGGAAGAGTTTAGCTCCTCATTTGGAGACTAAACATGAAGAAAATATAAAGAAATAACTTGTCTAGACTGAGCTTAGAAGTATATAGGAATTGGTGGTTTATTGTGGAGGAAATGGGGTGTATTTATAGGCTTTTTAGGCCTGCAGGGTAGTGTACCCGATCGGGCTTTCAGCTCACTCGATCGGGCAAAAGGTAGCTTCCTCGAAACTGAAAAATTGGGGTCATACCCGACCGGGTCTGTCGGTCACCCGATCGGGTATGACACCCGAACGTGTTAAAATCTTCCCGCATGATGCCTTGTTCCCGGATTCGATCCGATTTGATTTTTTAGAAGGGTACCCGACCGGGTATAGGTCATACCCGACCGGGTACAGACCAAATTCGAAATCTTCACCTCTTTTTCTTGTATTTTTGCACCTTCCTTCCACTTGTGGTGTTCACCAATGGTCCCCAAAGTGTTCTTGGACCTGTTTGAGCTCAGAATACACCTAATCTAAACAAATTACAAATATTTTACAAACTAAACTATTACACCAAAAGTGTGTAATTTCCAAAGTGACAATCAATCTAAACTAATTAAAAATACCAAAATAAACATGGAAATTACATGAATGTCATAATGATAACAGTAATAATAATAATAATAATAATATTAAGCAACATATATATATATATATATATATATATATATAGATTTAGGATCAGGTTAGAACTTAATCTTAGGAGAGTAAAAAAGAATAGATCTTAGTCCTTGGATTAACCATGTTTTTTAAACTACCGTGCACATGTCTAAAAGGCCTTTTGGTCATTTCATCAATGCATTAATTAGCCTTAGAACTAAGCTCCGGACTTGGTGGCACTACTTTATCCATTTGGTAATTGGTTGTACCGTAGTACATTAATTATTTCCTTTTCAATTTTCATATATTTATTAATTATTTCTTTCTCTTATTTTGTGTTTTGTGTACTTCAATTTTTTGATGTGTCATTATATTATTTTTAATTTTCTTCAACGTTATGGAACTACTATCTTTTTGCCTAATAGAATGCTCTTTAGTAAGTACCCAGTAGTAATTTTTTTAAAATATATTATTTTACTTTGTGGCAATATATATTTTTGAAATATTTTGAAATATTTATGTGCTTCAACTCTTTAATTATAGTAAAAAGTATATATAAAAGTGCACTAAACTAAACAGTTAAAGTGCATGGTATTGAGTTTTTTATTATGCATTTTTAAAGTGTACAATGTGCACGGTGTATCATATTTAGTGCAACTTAAAAGTTCAAAAATGTAACATTCAAAATAAAGTGCACACCATTTAAATAAAATTTTGTCCGCTTAATATATAAAATGTTATAGGAACTATAAAAGTTCATTTAAAATTATTTCACTCGTAAGTGCATAAGATAACTAAAAATGCAACTACTTAATAAATAATTATATCATCTACAATGCACTTATACATACACATGTTGCACATATCCACTCAATAAATAAAATATCACAGAGACTATAAAGTTCATATTTAAATATTTTGCTCGTAAGTGCATAATAGATTAACTAAAAAGTGCAACTACGTGATAAATAAGTACATGCTCATCTAAATTGCACTTACAATGTTCATTTTTAAATATGTTACCCGTAAGTGCATAATAGATTAACTAAGAAGTGCAACTATGTAATAAAGAAGTACATGTTCATCTAAATTGTACTTGTGCGTGCATATAGTGCACATAATTTAGAATATTTAAAATGAGTTGATATGCACAAAGTCTCAAATAAAGTGCATCTATTCAATGTTGGAATGCAAAGCATAAATTAATTTTAGATACTACGTATGTAATCCTAAATTTGAAAATAAATTCAAATAGGAGAAAGTATATATTATAATAAATAATCTTAGCTATGAGAGAGGTTACTTTTTACGAATTATTAGGAAGACTTCCTATTATGGCGCATCATGC